ATTCATAGGAAAACAAAGGATCTTTGGACCAAAAATATGACATTTTGAAGCAGGCCATGCAAAAAAGAGAAAGAAAAACTTTTTAAAAAGTTACATTTCTTTTTTATTTTATTTTACAGCATTATTTTAGATTATTAAAGTTTTATTCCAGATTATTTCATAGTTTTATTCAAGATTATTTTAGTTTTATTGAAGAAAATTTTAGTTTTATTTCAGATTATTTAAGTTTTATTCCAGATTATCAGTTTTATTCAAGATTATTGAAGTTTTATTTGAGATTTTTTAAAGATTTTTTAATTTTTTTTTTTAGATTTTTAAAGTTTTTTTTTGTTTTTTAGATTTTTGAAGTTTTATTCAAGGCTATTGAAGATTTATATAATATTACTGAATTTTTATGAAGATCTACCACAATCTCTTCTCTTTTTTCTCTCCATCCAACTTGAAGATGGACTGAAATTATTAAAGAAGATTGTAGTTGGCCACCTAGAATTAATATATAATGCGCAGTCTGACCTTAAATAGGAGGATACTTATCGCAGGATTTCATAATATGAAGTAACTAATTACATCATTAAGACTGAAACAACATGGGGGTGATAAATTTGTTAAGTCAAAATAAACACAGAATTTCGCTCATTAATACAAGACGTAATTTCGGCAAATAGTTCTTGGTTAACAATGTAGATTCTACCCTCGAGGCGAATTAACATGTTTAAACATATAATAAATCTGAAAACCACACTTATTAGTTAATATTGACATAAATCTTATTATCTTTTCCGTACATGTAATATCGGACTAATCTGATGGTTTCTTTCTTTACAAATTACTCAGACGATATTTGAACAGGTCTAGTTTTTGGAGGGCTCGCAAACATTCGTCCGCCCGTTAACAGACAAGTAATGTCATCTTTCTTCACGTATCCAAGTTTTTCTCAATCAAAAACAATCATGAATTCTTAATCTTCAAATATTTGTTAATCTAATTTTTTATACTCTGTTGACATACACGTCTTTGCCGAAAAATTACTGCTAATCAAACTTGTCCCCTACTCTCTGGAATTTGGTAATATTAGTTTAAGTTTGGCAATTATTGTTACAAGATCTATCTTAGATAATGTCTTTTGTGTATCCACATAGACACTCGGGTTTGTTTCTTGTGTATCTTGACAAATTCATTATAATTTCGTTTTTGTAATTGTAGCTTAAAATTTATAAATTACTTTTTGTAATTGTAGCATTCAAAACAGAAAACTACATATGTCTCTCACCTAGTTTTTTTTCTTCTAAAATATAAATATCTGTTTTGTCCAAAACCCACAAATCAGTCTTATATCTAAACCTTTCCCATGCCAGAACCTTAAATGATAAGCCTTTGCCACCAGTAGGAAGCTAGGCCAGCACACACATCCTGACAGTCTGACCAGACTCTATTCAACCAGCTATTTTTTTGCACTTGATTGGGAATGGGTCCTGTATCTATTGAATTTGGAATATTTGATTTAGTAAAGTACCAAATTGGGAATTTTTTCTTTGTGAAATGAGTCAAATTGGGAATTTTATGTCAGGTTTATAATAACAGTATTTGCAAGCATAATATCACTCAAAATCAAGTGAGAGACCTTTAACTAGTTTTTTCCTCTCTAAAAGACAATGCAACACATCCATAGTCTTCTTAGATACTCTACTGAGAATTAGAGCCATGGTTTCTTAAAACATCCCCCATTAAAATGCTTCTGATGGATAAAACTTGAAACACCTATCATGACGTGAATACTATCTGGGGAAAATATTATTGCCAATCATGTAAGTGGTTCTTAAATACCTAGGTAACAAAAATGTCATGTATACAATGTAGAAACAATGCTTAATATAAAGATTTCAAAACATTTCAACCAAGTATTTAGCTACATTACAAACCCCTTATTAGAGTGGTTATTATTATTATTATGCAGAGAAAATACATTATATAACATAAAATACTATTAAATAGAACTTTGCACTTTTAAAAAGCTTACACAATAACGGTTACCAACTTTTTTGGATTTAAAATTAAGTTAATTTACCATGACTCAAGTCACATATCTGATTATCAAAAAGACATTAGAGGTTTTGAGTAGGACCCATCATAATAACATTGTTCTTTCATATTTTATTGCCAAGGTATAATGTAAAACCACCGTAGAAAGAATTCAAACTAATCTTGTAATGAAGGGCTAAAAAATTCCAAAACAATTTGTGAGTGAAAGTTAAAAATTTTTTTTTTTTTTAAATCTTGAAGCATTTCTGTACAGTTAAATATAAAATTGGAAGACTTCTGACAGTTGTAAAACACTGAAATTCACTTATCATAATTTTATCTTTATTATTTCAATGATATAATTCAATTTATTACTCTACTAGATAATACAGCTTGTATGTATTACATTTTTATCATCTTTTAAAGGGAAAAAAACTAAACACAATTCCAGTGTCTGTAACATATTTCATTAAAGCTGAGATATTTATTATTCATCATTCTAAATGTTTGTTTGGATATTTTGTCTCCATGGTAGAAAACTAAGTAAATGGTACACTTTCTGTGACACTACATTTATATTTGTATACCTATATGTATATCTTTACTACCCTTTCAAACATTCAAATGAAATAATGTGCAAAACACCCAAAGAATGAAAGACAACAATTCCACAACTTTTGTTATGATTTAACAAACACCATCATTTAAATTGAAAGACACCTATTTGCCTTAAAAACTGCAATTATACTAACTAACAAATGTTTCAAAAATTGCTACCGATGATAATGATCAATTCATTGAAACAGAGACATTTCTAAGAGTAAGGGTATTTTAAAAAAGGTCAAAGAAGAAATTAAACTTCCCAAGAAAGATTTCCAAAACTTTGCCAGATTAAAGGGAATCATGATTAAAACTAAACTGCTGAGGTCATTACCCTACTTTTTTAAGTTATCTGCCCTTGAAAATGGGTTTCTTTTTGCTCGTTTTAAATAGCAGACAACCTAAAATCAATTACATCAATACTTTATTTAACTTAAATTTATTATCTGTCATTTCATTTTCAGTCATGCTGACAAGTTAACGAAATTTTGTGTAATCTGTGTTTTGGTATGCTTTAATGAGTATACATTACTAAAATTTTCTTCAAAAATAGTGCATAACTCATAGGCAACTTAAGAATAAAATCTGCCAAACAAGAGTTTTGGCAAAAATTTGAACCATGGCATAACACAAAATAAACCAACATTTGAAATTTGAAATCATATAAAGCATTACTTGACAAAATATTGAATTATCTACTCTTTAAAATAATCTTAGAACGCAAAACAGACATGACTTACAGGGGCAGATAATTGGAAAAGTAGGATGGCAGCATCTATATTTTATTATCAATTTGTTTCAATCAAGTTTCATCATTCTCTTTTAATCATGCAAGTTTACAGACAATATTTGTATTAGTTTAAATTTTCCTTATTTGCCTTTGTAAAAAAAATTGACACTACTCTCTCCAACATGACTTGAACAAAGGACTGGAAACGAAGAATTGCAAAGTCATCTTAACTGCAGATTGTGAAATTCTTTATTGTTTCCATTGAAAGAAACATTATATACTTTTCATTTTGCAATACATTTAAAATTAAATACATGACATGAAGTCATTTTCAATATCATATTTCAATAAAGACAGTCAAAAAGGTAATCGTAATAATTGTGATCAAACGTAAAAAAAGCCAATATGCACAGGTACGTTACAGAAATATACATTTTCCTAATCTGAGAATACAAAGTTTTCAACTTATTGTTAAACTTTTTATTTGAATCTGTTTATTCTGAAAATCATTCTGTTTAAGAAAGTGAATAGGTGAGATTTTTTATTAGTTTTAAGGCAATCCTGTTATTTCTAGGCACTTTTTGTTTTTTGTTAACAATATTAAACTTCTACGACAATCGAGGTTTCAAAATGAGTTACAATGTAATTTATAATTACTTTGCATGGGGGTACATACCTCTCACTAAATGTTCTACAATGAAAATTAAAGCAATAAATATATGTAGTACCCAAAGCTTGTTCATATGCTCTTCTCCGAATACATGTATAAATGTTATTGTAAATCACTAATTGCCACATTTGATACAGATGTATACATGAAGTTATAAATATAAAATAAAAACATTTTTGTTTAGTTTATAAGTCATCAGCAAATAACAACATGGAGAAAACAATGTAGTACCAGAATTTCAAAATTAACATATAAACGTTTTCTAATTAAAACTTCTAATTTACATCATCTCACGCTATTTTGAATATATTTCCTACATGGAAACAATATCATATTTCATGTATATTTCATAGATTTCAATATCATCCCTGCAATTACAATATATATCAAGATTTTTATTCCAGGTCAATTTAATGTTTTGATGAATAAATATGAGCAATAAATATGTCTAGGAACATTTCAATATAACAGTGGGAGGGAGAAAAATCATCTTGAGAAGGATCACTTCCAATTCATTGGAGAAGAATGATTTTAACAGAACTGATGTTATTAAACATCTTATCTAGTTTTCAATATCTAAATTGTCCAGTAATTATATAGGCTTTTAGATATAATAACAATAATGCCTGTGGCGATTTATCATTGTACAATGAAGGAAGTGATCGCACAAATTATATAGTAAACACCATCTTTAACAGCTGTCTCTAGACATTCACTCACGTTTTATTTCTTTAATGTATATTATAAAAAACATTGAATGTTAATGATAATAATAATGATATAGATACAAAATGAAGTTGTTTCTCATACAATGTATAAACAGCTGTTATACTTCACATTTATATAAATTCTATCACCCACAAATTAAAACAATAACGATAAAAGGTATTTCTGAAAAGTAAAACATATTAGTTACCAATGAACAAATATATATATACTAAATAATGAACTCTAGCACAAAATAGCTAAGACTCTACCTACCATATTCTGCTTAAGGTCCAACGGAACGTATTGAACGTAATAGTATGGATGCATCCTTGTGAGTCCTGGTCCGAGAAACCGCCTTGTCGATGTCGGTACAGTAGAAACTGCCTTAAGAGTTGGTGCTGGTGCAGCGTAAAGAGGGGAAGTTCCGAGTCCTGATAGTCCGGTATTGATAGTTAATGCGGTAGACGGAGCAGCGGCAAACTTGTGAACTGACTGAATGGCGGGTGATGGGATAATCAACGGCTCAGTCAGTAAATCCAAACTCTGTGCTTCAATCATGGATAACAATGGGACGGAAAATACTCCGTCTCGTTCATTAAACTGAATGCAATCTCTTCTTTTATAACCACTACAGTGAGTGTTGCTTTTTAAATCAAATTACAATCACAGACATGTATGTCACTTAAAATCTGTCAGAGTGAGACATATATTCCAATTGCCTATAGCAAAATGGTATGAAGCGAATAAATGTCTCCTAGAAAGAGAATTCTACGAGGAAATGAACTATGAATTTTTTACACACTTTGTCACCGTTGTGTGGAATATGGCCCGCCTATAGATGATATACAATCTGGTTGTTAGCTCTTACCTTGGGGACTGTGTCGTTCAATAAATTTCTATTCTTTCTAATGGTGTCATGCACTGTCAATTCGCACACACTTCTACATGGAGTAACAGCACATCCGATACGAATAGAACACATGTAACGACTCAATAAATCTTGCTCCACTAAAGCACAATGGTATTAAGCCAGTGAGTAATCTACGCTGGGTATTATTTTTTTTTCATTCATATAAAAGTCCTTTTCTTTTCTCTGACGGAATGTTTTATGTGATTGTCTCTCTGTTCATCAGAAACAAGAAGTAGCGGTGACAGAATACCATCCAATTACAAGTTAGGAAACGTGTAGCGATAATACTGTTGAAACTCTCATCAATTCATATGACCTTTACAAATAACAACCGTTAACTATGTTTAACTATTTTAAATGAGCGTATTGCCAAATAGTGCTTCAAACGGGACAATCATAGGGGTAATTATCCTGTCCGCATTCTATACAGTCGCTGTTGATTTTTTTTTTCAGTCTACCAAATGGCAGCAATTATATTTTATTCATGGTCACTTCAACAATGGAAAACTGAAATCAGCAATTATGACACACGCTTTGATAACTCTACAAACTATAAACTCTCAGCGATATATCAACTTTCTAAAAATCCATATATTTTTATAAATTATTCAGAAACATTTGAAACTCGTGTAAAATATGAGAAAATATCCAATATGAAAATTTCTAGTGTCAGCTGTCGAAGAGACATGTAAAAGTGTTTCCATACAATCAATGACCACAAGGCAACAAGGTGGTAATTAAGTTAACCCCATAAGTGAACAAGTTGAATTAGTTAAATTAGTAAAATGACAGCACAGCCTCAGGGGTACCTATCACTTTATATTGTACAATTTCCTCAAGATCAATCATGTATTCAGACCCAAACTTATGACAAATCAGCGTGGTCGAAATTTTTTGACGAGTGTACATTCAATCATGCACATCTAACCAAACATAATCATCATTTGCATCAAATCAAACTTGCGATTTACCCATAATACCTTTCATATGTAAATTAGGGCTTGGGAATTCTTTACTTAACGGTTCAAACAACCTCGATGACATGAAATCTATTATAAAACGACTTTGTGCTTCAAAAGGCTGAGTACTTCTCTACACATATCAGGAAAAGATTAAAAACTTTAAAATGAATTTAATCCCCCTAGGTAAATGTTTGAGATACATCTCTAGTTCGGGAATTCGTGTTCAAGATGGTATTATGTGACAATATTGACTTATTTCTTAATTGCTTTTGACTAGTATCATCTGCTCTCAGAAGACAGTATTCTTCTCGAAGACTTTCTCTAAATATAATGTCATTTAACTGGAAATCACTGACACGATTTTCGCCGAAAGGAATAGCAAGACATCTGCATTCTTACTGATATTGCCTAGATAAACCTTTATTTCTATACCAAGCATTTTCATTATGTTCAAATTAACTATTCTTTGGCTTTAAATTATTCTCAATATTTAAGAAAATATAAAGCTTGGGGGGAAAAGAAAACAATAAAAGTACAAAAAAAAATTACAGAAAATAATAATGGTATTAAAAAAATATACAGAAAACAATAAAGAACAAAAGAAAACTTAAAACGATTTCTATTCTGTTAATAAATTAAGAGAAATTAACAAAATCCTGATAGAATTTCAATAATAATATTCAAATCAGATTTGTTCATGTCCACAGATGAGTCATTTAAAGTAGGGGACTTAGCTAAACAAATGCATGGCTAAATGAGTAATTAACACAAGTCTTCCTTGCAAAACAAATTTTTCAAAAAACACATTTTTTTTGTATTTCCAACAGACTGAAGACAACATTTTAACATGAAGCCATTGTCATGACACCAACATGAAGAATGTCATGCCAAACGAGATTTTTTTTTCCTTCCAGATAACGAAGTAGTTTCTACAAATACCGTATTTTCAATTTTCACATTTTTTGTGTGTTTCCGAATGGTTTATTAGATGGAATTGGCATCAGTAAATATCTGACCTTCTGGTGATTTCAACACAATGTTACAGCCTTTACAGCGCAAAAATTTGATTATTTAGATGAAATGGAACAATTTCCTGCCGTAGTTAAGGCTAGACGCTGGTCAATAAGAAATGCTTGCGGTCGTCCTATGTGACAAGACAAGGTATATGGTTAGCTCCAGGGAATAACCCGCAGTGCTATGACCAAATATGTCCTAACAAACGAGACAATGATATTTGCTATTAAGCCAAGAGAAAATATATTTATGCCTTTCTTGAGTAATGCATGGAATACAGTAAATTCTGTAGCAGAAATGACAGAAATATAGACAGAAAATTGATAAGTTTAAGTAAGCATACACTCATTCTGATTTAAATCTTTCACAATCATTTATGAAATTTGGGAATATCAGGAAAAATTCTCATACTAAATTGCAAAGGTCAAGTGTCCATTACAAAACGGAAGAAATGAAAAGAAACAGTAATTTGTCTGAAACAGTATGTATCCCCTCTTTTAAACCCCCTTAACTCCCCCTCTCCCAAAAATACATGTTTTTTTGTTTTATTATTTTCATTATATGAGGGATTCTTGTAATCTTGCCATGAAGTTTATCTTGCTGGATTCATATTAGTCAAAAGCCAAAAAAAATATTTTTATTAAATTTTATTTACATACAGCAATAAAAAAAAACAAAGTTCTGTTGTTTTTTGTTGTTTTTTTTTTCATTCATAAAAGAAGAACTCAGTGTATAACTAAATGTTGCAAACAGCCAACCAAAGTCAAATTCATAACAATTAAACATCCTTAAACAAAAATCAACAACTCTCAGCATGAACACAATTTTGCCAATTAGTTCTGTGACTACTTATACAAGCTGTTTGGTTTTTATTTAGATTTTTTTTTTTGTTCTTTTTGTTTAGATTTTTTTTTTAACAACAACCAGAAAGAAATATGCATATCCAGATGCTGGCGACCTGATGAATATTTCAAACACAATATTTGCTTTTCAATTAGGGAAAATGTACTCGCTTTTGTTACGAGTTTTGTAGAGTTCCGCCATCATATTGTATAGTCAGATTATATGGAAATAATCATTGTGGCTCGGTTTTTTTATCAATTGTATCTATTTACCAACATAATACCGTGCCTAGTTCAACCGTATAATGTCACAATTTTTCCCCGATGCTGTTCAATGACTTTCTCTTCTTTTTTTTTTTAATGCAAATATGACAAATAAACATATATTAATAAAAAAGTTCATTTCTTTGATCATACATTGATACAATGGCAAGCTTTTAGGAAAATGCATTAATAAATATTAAAATTTCAGCAAGCCATCTAGTCATCTGTTGATAAACGTGTACATATCATCAAATAAATGGATCACAGAAAAAAAACGTTGCCTAGCATGTTCTTGCATGTTTGTCAAGTCAAGGCAGAGAAGAATAGTATTGAACCATTACAATCGTGTTAAAGTCCAACTTTGTAGAGTTCAACTTTGAACAATTCTGAATTTTTAAGTGGCCATTGTTTAAGCGAAGCATTTTAATATGAAAAGAATTAATAAATCAAACAGCAAACAGACTCCTTGAATTTGATCAGACTGTACATAGGGTTTTGTAAGACAGGCCCAAATCCCCCCTAACTTTTAATAAAAAACTACTGGCAAAGGTAAATCATAATTGCAATGGTTTAACATTTCAATAGTTGTTCTAAATTTAACTTCTACATGATCTATTCCTAAATTGACGATTAGGATCTTTGTCCTTTTTCTTCGACAATTTTCAATTACAAATTCAATCTATTATAGTTTTGTTTCGAAATATCTAATTCACATTGTTTAATTGAATATTTAATATGACTGCCTTACTAAAATGAACATAGAGCTCAATTATAGAGGAAATGAATTCTGAGTCTAAGGTAAGGTCATTTGAACTAGTTAAACAGGTCAGTTCATTAAACCTTGTCATGTAAATTGAACACGTGGCTGGAGGGGTAATGCACGTACATGCTGAATCGAATCATTGATCGGTAATAAACATGTCAATATCTGACCTCTAATCAAACTCTTCCAACATCTCCTAATAAAAACGGACAATCACAGAGAGATAAATTCTAAATTCAATTCGTTGCATCACAAAAATTTAAAACCTGTTTAACTGAATTTCATTATTGGCGATTCTAATTCACAAATTCATTACATCCCAATAGATGATTACGGTAATGTAGTTTTCGTAATGAAAAAAACAGCAGGAGATTTTTCTTTCTTTTTCTTTTCTTTATTTTTTTTTCTTTTCTTTTGTGGCAATCATCGAGCTATTGTGTCGTGCTGCCAGATTTCTTCCATGAAAGACATCTAAACAAGCCTGTAAAAGTCTTGTTAGAAGAGTAATAGTGTTATTCTGTGACGAAATTAAAACTGTCGACAGTCCAAAACACCAAACATGCAAACATCTCATCAAGCTATACTGGGACACAGTCCTGGTGTCCATGAACATTTTACGCCAAAGTCTGTCAAGTATTGCCAACAAATGCCTACATGGTGTGAGACACGGATTTTAATTCGGCAGTTTTCAAAGACTTGTCAGCAGGGAAAATTGGGATGAAAAATGACATCATGCAATCCCCATACCAATCAGATACTCAAGGAATTGTTGCGGAAAGAAAGGATATTATCCCAATCTAATGTGGTAATCATTTCTTTCACATTTCACCATGACATTAAAAGTTACTAGTTTTTCATTATACTAATTCATGTATGTTGAAGTGGAGACTCTAAATTGTCAATCTTTTTCCCCTCTTTTTGGCTTAAGTGTTTCAGTATATATACTAGTGAAAATATATTTTTTTAGGCAAGTGATAAAGTGGGTTGGGGGCTTTTTTTTCAGCATGTCCAAATCTCTATAACTTACTAGACAAATACATTTTGGATTCCTAAAATAGAAAATAATTTTAGCATAAATAAACCATTTAAAATAGATCACCGGCAATATTATTGTCTTTCACTTGATCCCAAGTTAAAAAGGCATCCATAAAATATAATTAATATAATATTTAGACCCATTTATTGTAATCTGCTCCTTTATCATAAATGAAAAGGCAACCAGAACACACAAAAAAATTATTTTTTTCCAAACCAGCCACTGAAACTGGCTTTTATACGCAATTAATAATGGTAATAAGCAATTAAAAATTCAAAGTCAGAATTATTGTACTGCTTTTTATCATAAAATCGTTTTCAATTGGGTGCTTTCACAGAAATTGTAACCAAAAAAACAAAATACTTTTGTTCTCTTTGAAACCGTTGAGAGAATGATCGGTGAAAAAAAGGACACATTTATTATTCAACAGTCACGCTGTACGGAGTTCATCATGAAGCCAATTAATTTTGACTTTCTATGTGCGTTGTCAACACAGTGTTACAGGCATCGTCAACACTACGAGACAGTAAAGGCTCTTGTTTTACCACTATGAGGCACCTCCACTGGGACTCTACCTTCGACAAATTATACCATGAATAATTAAAATCCCTACACGCCAGCACTTGCTTTTACGCATAGCAATAGCTGTTAATTCCGCATCAATAAAACAGG